TATATATATATATATATATATATATATATATATATATATATATATATATATATATATAGGATTATTATTGTTATTATTATTATTTTATATATAACAAACAAAAAAGTGTTCCCCCCCGGGCTCGAAAAGTTTTTTTTTTTTTGTCAGGGGAGGTCTGGCCCTCAGTTTAACAACAGCGGCGCCCGCCTGATACTTCCTCACAATTTATTCCCAAATCGCGCGCTCGCGCGGGATATCCTCACACTTCATGTGCGCATCGCGCTCTCGCGTGGGACTTCCTCGCAATTTATTCAGACGGTGCGCCCTCGGCGCTCAGGAATACAATTTATTCAGGAATCGCGCTGTCGCGTATTCAGACGCTGCGCCCTCGACATTCAGGAATCACACTCTCGCTGTGGATTTCCTCACGATCGCTTTGGGAATCGAGCTGTCGCTCGAGACTTCCTCGCGATTCATGCGGGACGCACGCTTGAGCAACCCGCCTGCTCGATCTGGCCGCCTGGGCCTTCCTTCCCGACCCGCTCTACCCGCCCGATCTGCTCTTCTGGTTCTGCCACGTGTTTTCTGCTCCTAGCCCGTGCTCCATCCTCCTCCCTGCCCCTTGTCCTTCCTTCATCCTTCCTCTCTTCCCCTGCCTCGGGGGCTGCGCGAAATACACGTTGCAGGTAAGAAAGGTATACCCCCAAGGGGGTACGGTCGAGGACGAAGAGTGTGGGTATTGAGGGTGTGGGAAATACGTGTTGAATGGCACGCGAGCAGATAAGAGCGAACAGTCTTAACATAATTGTTGATGTGGTTGTTGTTGGTTTTGGTGTTGGTGTTGTCGTCGTCGTCGTCGTCGTTGTTGTTGCATTCTCATTACTGAAGAACAATCATAGTTCAGTCGCTCGGCTCAAACTGCGTTGTTGGCCCCCGGGCTACAACAACAACGGCTCCCGCCTGAGGCTTCCTCAACATTTAGCCAGGACCCCCGCTCCCGCCCCAGACATTCTCGCATTTTACTCAGGAATCGAGCTCTCGCTTGGGACTTCCTTAAACTTATTCAGGAATCGCTCTCTCGGCGCTTTGGAGTCGCGCTCTCGCAGGAAACTTGCTTGCAATTTGCGCAAGAATCGCGCTCTTGCGTTGGAATTCCTCTCGATTTACTTTGTGCCGCGCTCCCGACATTCAGACACCCAGGAGTCGCGCTCACGCTTAGGACTCCCTCACATCATTACTTAGGAATCGGAATCTCGCTGCCCTTCGTGGCCCCGTTGCAGCCCTCAGTGGCCCCCTCGCTGCCCTTCGTGGACCAGTTGCAGCCCTTCTTGAAGGCCCCATTGCAGCCCTCCGCGGCCCGCTCTCTGCCCTTCGCGGACTCGTTGCAGCCCTTCGTGGCCCTCACGCTGCCTTTCGCGGTCCCGTTGCAGCCCTTCGTGGCCCCGTCGCTGCCCTTCGTGGCCCCGTTGCAGCCCTTCGTGGCCCCCTCGCTGCCTTTCGCGGACCCGTTGCAGCCCTTCGTGGCCCCCTCGCACTTCGCGGACCCGTTGCAGCCCTTCGTGGCCCCCTCGCTGCCCTTCGTGTCCCCGTTGCAGCCCTTCGTGGCCCCGTCGCTGCTCTTCGTGGCCCCGTTGCGCACCTTCGTGGCCCCCTCGTTGCCCTTCGTGGCCCCGTTGCAGCCCTTCGCGGCCTCCTCGCTTGCTTTCGCGGCACCATATATGTATGCCCTTCGTGCCCCCCGCTCGTTCGCGCCCGTCGTGGCCCCATCTGCATGCGCTTCGTAGCCCTGCTGTCGCCCTTCGTGACTCCCTCGCGGTCCTTCCTGGCCCCGTTGCTGCCCTCAGTGGCCCCGTCCTTGCCCTCTGCGGCCCAATATACGTATGCCCTTCGTGGCCCCCGCTCGTTTGCGCCCGTCGTGGCCCCATCTGCATGCGCTTCGTAGCTCCGCTGCCGCCCTTTGTGACCCCCTCGCTGTTCTACGTGTCCCCGTTGCTACCCTCAGTGGCCCCCGCTCGTTCGCACCTGTCGTGGCCCCATCTGCATGCCCTTCGTGGCCCCCTCGTTGCCCTTCGTGGCCCCCTTCCTGCCCTTCGTTGCTCTCGCTCTCGCTCTCGCTTTCGCTCGTCGTTGTCGTCGTCGTCGTTGCCGTCGTCGTCGTCGTCGTCGTCGTCGTCCTCGTCGTCGTCGTCGTCGTCGTGGTCGGTCCCCTGTCCGTCCCCCTTTGGGGTCGGGTTGCCGCCGATCAGCGCTACCGCTGCCGACGGTCTGCGGCCGCCCCGCCGCTTGCCGGGGCCCGGCCTGCAGGGAGGAAAGATATAACCCCAAGAGGGGTGCGATCGAAGACGAAGATGACGGGTATCGAATGTTTTGGAAGTACACATTGAATGACACTCGAGCAGATAAGAGCGAACAGTCTTACACTGCTTGTTGTTGCTGCTGCTGCTGCTGTTGTTGTTGTTGTTGTTGTTGTTGAGCTCTCACTTCTGAAGAATAATTATTGTTGATCCCCCCTGTCCGGTGCCCATTGGTTTTTTCAATTGAAGTGCTTCCTCCGGGGCTCGCACCCTGTTTTTTGACAGGGAAAGCCTTGCGGATCAGATTGCGTTGTTGGGCCGCGGACTACAACAACAACGGCTCCCGCCTGAGGCTTCCTCACAATTTACTCAGGACCCCCGCTCCCGCCTGAGACTTCCTCAAAATTTACTCCGGAAGGGCGCTCCCGCTTCAGACTTTCTTACATTTCACTCAGAAGCGGCGCTCCCGCTTGAGACTTCCTTAATCAGGACCCCTGCTCCCGCCCGAGACTTCCTCATAGTTTACTCAGGAATGGCGCTCTCGCTTAGGACTTCCTCGCAATTTATTGCAGCATCGCGTTCTCGACGCTCAGGGACCACGCTCGCGCCAAGGACGCCCTCGCAATTTACTTAGGAATCGCGCTCTCGCTTAATACTTCCTCGCAATTTACGCAAAAATCCCGTTTGAATGTCCCGCCCGCCCGACCCGCCCGTCAGGGTCCGCCCGCCCGACCGGCGCTCCCGCCTGAGACGTCCGACAATGTACTCGGGACCCCCGCTCCCGCCCAACTCTTCCTTGAGGAATACGCCCTCGCCTAGTACTTCCTCGAACGTTCACACTCTTACCCTCCTGCCCCTTCCCCCCCGTCCAACCTCCCTCCTCCCTCCCCTCTCCCTCATATCCACCCTCCTCCTCCCTCTTCCTCTCTCCCCTCACCCTCCTCCCGTAACCCTCCTCCCTCCTCTCTTCGCCCTCCCCTCTCCAGCCTCCTCCTTCCTCCCTCCTCTGTCTCTCTATCTCCAATCGTCCCCCCCCCCCCCCTCCTCGCCCCCTCTCTCCTGGCGTGTTCCCCTTTAGCCTCGTCCCTCCCCCTCCCTTCCTCCCACTCTCCCTCGTCCTCCCCCTTCCTCTTCTTGCAGGGCCCGCGCTAATTCCAATGGTGGGCAAAGAGATGCGTGCCCCATCCTCCGAATAATTCCCAGCCCGTTCACGCCCGCTTGTCTAAGCCCGCCCGCCCCCGCAAAAAGAAAGAATCCCCCCAGAAGGGGGTGCGCTCGAAGACGAAGGGGGCGGGTATCGAGGGCGTGGGTATACATGTTGCATGGCACGCGTGCAAGTAAGAGCGAGCAGTCATAACATGATTGTTGTTGTTGTTGTTGTTGTTGTTGTTGTTGTTGTTGTTGTTGTTGTTGTTGTTGTTGTCGTTGTCGTTGTCGTTGTCGTTGTTGTTGTTGTTGTTGTTGTTGTTGTTGTTGTTGTTGTTGTTGTTGAACATTATTTATTCTAAAGAATAATTGTTGTTGGGCCCCCTGGTGCGCGCCCCCCCTGCGCCGCCTAGGCCGCAGCTACATTTTCATCATTTTCGTGAGGAAGCCTCAGAAAAGAGGGTGTGTACAGGATCCGGTTGTTTTGTTGTAATCCGCTTTCCCTTGCAAAAAACAATAGAAAATGACATTTCTTGTTCTAATATAATCAAATTTCAAGAATCCCTTGCAAAAAATAAGGTAAAGTGGACATTCGCGCGCGCAAGACGAAATCCTTCCAAAACCTTAGTGTTCGCAGCGATTTTAACATAAAAACATCAAAAACCCAATGGTTTTTCAAAAACAAAGTTTCAAAACTTCATCTTGCGCGCTCTTGCGGATTTCTGAGGAAACCCAATATTTTTCAACATTTCTGTCAAACGGGCTCTTGCGAGCAACTTTTTCACGTGCTTCGAACTTCTGCAACAACGGTTGCGCGCATGCCAGGGCCATCATCCCTGTCAAATAATACCATATTGGACACATTCGTTTTTTCTTCGCGCGCGCACGCCGTCGTCGTCGGCCGCGGGGCCCTGAATAGTAGCCACGGTCGTCCGCATGCCACGAAGTGAAGTGTCCGAACGTCATAGGGCGGGAAGCTGGGTGTGGGTGGTGGCGAAGAGTCGTTTGGAAATTTGGTAGAGCTTGAACCGGCCCCCCCACAAAGTGGGGGTATTGCCCGCCTCCTATGAAAACCCTGGCACTGGTGAGAACGGAGTGTCCCCACGTGCTAGTAATTGTTGTTGTTGTTGTTGTTGTTGTTGTTGTTGTTGTTGTTGTTGTTGTTGTTGTTGTTGTTGTTGTTGTTGTTGTTGTTGAGTTCTCACAACTGAGAAATTAGTACTGATGATCCCCCCTCCGGCAACCAGTGTACTTTTCAATGGACGTGCTCGCCTTTTGGGTCGCTGGCGCCGGCCGTAAGGCGTTCGCAATAGGGCCCACGAGCGTCTCCAACACCTGCACACTGTTCATTTCTAATTCTTCGACAGTTCTTCGATTTTCTGGGGGGCCAAGATCCTGTCATTTCTGACTGTTCTATCCTGGGCCTCTTCCTGGCCACTAGGGGGCCAGGAACACTTAGAAACGCGCACAATTAGAACTGAGCACGAAATGAACGACGTGTAGATCCCCCCCTCCGCTTCTCCTCCTCCCCCCATTGGCCCTCCGCAGCCGCTTTGGCCAGGGCGTGGCGCGGAGTGAGCC